TATCAGTTATCACTGAAAGCTTTGTTTTTCGGCAGGGACATGAACCACTCATACCTGCCAAGGGCTTGCACCAGCTGCACATTCTATTGTTCTTCTTGGCTGCTTTTCATATTCTCTACAGTTTCATCACCATGATGCTCGGCAGGCTCAAGGTACTGTTTTCCTTTTCTCAAAACCCTCTTTTCCTAGCTATTCATCATCTTCTGTAACCGCAGACCCGTGGCTGGAAAAAGTGGGAGCAGGAGACATTCTCTCATGATTACGAGTTTTCAATAGGTCGGTAGGGGACTTTTTCTTTACTAAAACTTGTCTCATAGGTCACTAAATTGACTCTTTTCTATTCATAGATCCATCAAGATTCAGGCTCACTCATGAGACGTCCTTTGTCAGACAACATTCCAGTTTCTGGACAAAGATCCCCTTCTTCTTTTATGTTGTATGGAGCATTTCCTTCTTCTTTACCAACCCATCATGTTGTTGATGAGATTTTGTGATATGTATGTGACTCTCAACCATCTCTGATTTACAGGGGTGCTTCCTACAGCAGTTCTTTCGATCTGTTGGGAGAACCGACTACTTGACTCTGCGCCATGGCTTCATAGCTGTAAGGCAAAACTTCAGTTCTCTGTTGTATTTTTACCTCCTACTTTGGTGATGCTTATGGGTGAGTCTCCTTTAGGCCCATCTAGCTCCTGGAAGAAAGTTCGACTTCCAGAAATACATCAAAAGATCATTGGAAGACGATTTCAAGGTGGTAGTTGGAATAAGGTACATAACGCATACATATGCTAGTGTGATGAGGTTTTTGTCAACATTTGCTAATAAATTTTTGCTCTGCAGTCCACTCCTGTGGGCATCGTTTGTGATTTTCTTACTGCTGAATGTTAATGGTGAGTCAGCTTTGCATTTGCTTGGTTTACCAAACCATTGGCTATTACTGAACTGAAAACAATTCTCCCTTCCGTTTTTAGGCTGGGAGACATTGTTTTGGGCGTCAATCCTGCCTGTACTTGTAAGACAGTTATGCTCTTAAGAGAATCTTCTACTGTGCTTGCCAGGGGTTTGCAAGTCTTATTCTCTTACAACTCTTGCAGATCATTTTAGCCGTCGGTACAAAGCTTCAAGCGATCCTAACACGAATGGCTCTGGAGATCACGGATAGACATGCAGTTGTTCAAGGGATACCTCTTGTGCATGGTTCAGACAAATACTTTTGGTTAAATCGCCCTCAGCTGCTGCTCCATCTTCTCCACTTCGCCTTGTTTCAGGTACTTGCGTTGTTTTTAGTTTCAAACACATTCAGCATTGCATGCTATGCTTGTGTCTTTAGCTTCTGTGTGTGTAATGACTTCTTTTTTTGTAGAATGCTTTCCAGATAACATACTTCTTCTGGATCTGGGTAACTGACCTTTTATGTCCAACTCGGTAGTTTTTGCCTTTTGGCCGATGTATTCTCTTCTATATCTTCAGTGATGGTAATGACTGATACATTGTTAATTTGGCATGCAGTATTCCTTTGGGCTAAGATCTTGCTTCCACAAGGATTTCAAACTTGTCATTGTAAAACTCTGTCTTGGGTAAAGCTTCTTCTTCACTAATTACTATTGGAGAAACCATTCAATAGATCACTCTTAGAACGATTCTAAGGAGCTGGTTATATTTGCAGCGTAGGAGCTTTGATTTTGTGCAGCTACATCACGCTTCCATTGTACGCACTGGTTGCTCAGGTACATTATCCAAATTTCGGCCTTCACTGTCTATTAGTCTACTGAGCTATATACAGTAGCAAGGAACCAAGCAACAAACTAATGTTGTTGATGTGGGTAGATGGGTTCACACATGAAGAAAACTGTGTTTGATGAGCAAATGGCAAAAGCGTTGAAGAAATGGCACATGGCAGTGAAGAAGAAGAAAGGCAAAGCGAGAAAGCCACCAACAGAGACCCTTGGTGGTTCTGGCAGTGTCAGTACCTCCTCTACTTCAGCTTTTTACGCCTCTGGAGCCACTCTACTCCGCTCCAAGACCACCGGTCATTCGACAGCCTCTTACATGAGTAATTATGAAGACCAAAACATGTCTGATCTTGAAGCTGAGCCGTTATCTCCTGCACCTATTGAGGGGCATGCTATCGTCAGGGTTGGAGATCAGACCACAGAGATGGAATATACTGGAGATATTAGTCCTGCAAACCAATTCTCCTTTGTGACGCCTGTTCGTCCTAATGATATAGATTAATATTTTAAACGAGTGCAGAGCACCTTGCCAAGTGTAATTTGTAACCAACTAGGACGTCTGTTTAAAGCTGTATTCTAGAGCTCCAAGACTCCATTACATATATAGAATACCAAAGAAGCAATGAGATCCATAACGTGTCGGCCCAGATACATAAGATAGCTTACTGGCTTCACATTACATAGTGCAACTGATATTAAAGTTGTATAAAGGAAGACAAAATTGTGGTTCCTTACTTGATAGACACGGGCTCACTCAGATTCTTCCTCGTCATCACTGTCCCCTCCAAACATGGAAGCCATTTTCATCGCTAGATTTGCAGCTATTTCCCTCCTCTGGAAATCAGGCATCAATCGCAAGTTGTCACGGATGTTCCCAATTTCTGACATCAACTGTTCCACGTCTTCAAACTCATAACATTTGTCGTTTTGTGTAGGTTTTTCATCTGTTACCACTGCTCTGTCAGTCTCATTATGCGGCTCTATCCTTGACCCTGAAGGCCGTAGCTCGTCATCCACAACTTCCTTCAGTTTCACCATATTATTTTCTACCTGGAGGTTTTCCTGTGAAGTGGATCCACCAGCATCTGCATGCGAATGCGTTTCACTTGCAGAGACCCATCTTTCCTCGATATTCTCCCATGGATCAGCTGAGCCTGCTGATAGAAC